AATCGCTCGGCATGGTCACTGGGTAAATCTCATAGCTTTTAACCAACTATGTCTTGTCTCCGCCCCATCTATCGTGTCTATCCATAGTGCTAAACCTATGACTTCCTCTGCCCTAGTTTCTTGTGTACCAATCCCCAAATGTTGTGGTTCTACTTGTTTTGATAAGGCTTAATATGAGAAATAATGAATTGTTATATTGAAGGGACGTTGTGTGGTATGTAAATACACCAGGACAAAAAGAGTTACCATAAATGTTTAGGAGACAGTTGGCTAAAGGATCGACTTCAGTTGTTTTTCGACGCATTGTAGTCTTATGCTTAGACTGGCTAGAATCACTGACTATACCGTCTGGGAGTTTACCAAGTCCACTGTTCGATTGTGGAAATTATCATCCATACTCTGTAATATTTATATATTTTTTTTTCTTTTAGCCCATGTTCGCCGATATAATTTTTAATTTTTTCTTAAATGTTTATTTTAAATAGTAAATATTCATTTTAATGCTCATTTTAAGCATTCTCATGCTTATGTCCTCTGAATTTCACAATTTTTGGCTTATTCTAATTTTTTTGATTTAGCTAGTCACATACCCTTTGGCAGATGCACTTTTCCTACTTAACTTCCGGATAGTAGTAATTTATCTTAGATAAGAGGTCCTGTTTTCTTCTTATAGAAAATTCTTATTAATATTGCCCTTTTATTGCTAAATCGAAGTTTGGCCTTACTATTTCTGCGGAGTTTATTTAATCGTCCGAGAATCTACCAATATTGTATAAGTACGTGGCATATTAGTTGGGCGTCTACAGCTAGGTTTTTTTGCTAGTCTTCTATTCAACTGGACTTCAAAGGCAATATAATATCATTTGACTGCTTGTCATTCAGGTAATCTATACTAAACTTATGAATATATATCCCTAAGATATCTTGGAAAGTTTATTATAAAATCCTCTGACGTTTAAACTCTATTCCGAATTCTTATTCTACTTCAATTCTGACAATATCAAAATTTTCTTTATCTCGCCTTTTATTATAGCTGCGTACCTCACCAGCTGTATTGAACCTTTAAAAGATTCAGAATCTGGAAGTCTACCAGCCCAAGCCCCATCTTCAAAAATCCCTGGTGAAAAGTCTGCCTCCATGTACAATATGGCTCAAAATTTTGGTACCATGTCCAATAGCACTAGCAATGGTGGGGGTGGTGTTCTAGGACTCAACACAGCTTACCGTCGCCTGCATACTCGCCTAGCTATGAGCCTGAGCCATGTTCAGGCCTGTCTCTTCCGAATTACTGCTCTTCTTGTTTTACCCCGCAGCGCCGCAGCAGAAGCTGGGGTGTCTGAAGCGCGGTTTTCTGAATTCATTAAACGTGGTGAATTTGATCAACTTTGTCCACATTGCGGTCTTGTACAGTGCTCGCACACCGTCGCTGGCCTCGACATTGGCCTAAGCGTACGTCCTTTACCTCCGAGGCGCCGGCGCCTTCAGCAGCTTCGCAAACGCATGAGGTTGAGAAAGCGACTTGGTCGAGCATCTACAGTTATTGGGCCGGAACATCAAGGGGTGGATGGTGCGGCTGCTCATGAAGAGAATCTTCGCGAGGCTGCATGCGCATGGGCATACCAAGGCTTTTCAAGTAGGGCACAGTTCACAAGTTCAGCCAATATGAGTCCTTTAGGCGGCAGAGATGATGAAAATGAAGTGGACGTCGAAGAGGAAGACGATGAGGAAGATGAGTGTGATGGAAAAGACGACGTACCTTCAAAAGATGGGGAGTTTGACGAAGTTATAAAAAATTTGGATGCTGGGGAAAAAGATGAACCATTTGAGGACTTCGAAGTAGAGGACAGATGCGAGGAAGACTTTGAGTTAAGAGGAATTGAAGAGGAAATTGATGAAGATACGCACCTGCCAGTTCGGCAAGGCTCAGGATGGTCGTGCGAATTGAGTAATTATGGCCCTGTTGGTGGTGGGTGTACCTTAGGCCCACGAAGAAGCGGCGGCTTCTTGGTGCAGGGCGACTGCTCACGGCGTTTACTTCAGAAGCTCGCCTGGGCACCTCTTCGTCTCTTCACCACCATTATGATGGAAAACACAGTCGCTTGCTGGCAATGGATGCTGGCTAGCCGGCCGGGTCTTGTTACTCAGGTCTCCGACTTTTCATACCTAATTACCAGTTTTGGCCCCTGTGACAAATGGCATAAGGGTCAATTAAATATTTAAGATGATTCTTTTTTAATAGTATATTAATCAGCTATATACTATTATTTGAATTCTTAAATTTTTTGAAATATTTGTGACGTTTTGGGTCTTTAATATTCTCTGCTAAATCTTCTGAAGGCTTGTACCATTTCCTTCAAGCTGGGGTTTATGAGAAATATCTTTTCTTTTATATGAACGGAATTTTAATTTTGATATTTATGATATCTCACTTTTCAAACTCTGCTGCATAATGTAATTCACATATTTCGGCATCATACCGCAAGATATTCTGGGATAAATATATCAATTTTAACAATATATGTAAAGCCCGGGGTTTAAAATTGTTGCGTGGTTAGATCGAGTGGTACGGAAGTCGGTTTGTTGGGGCTAGACAAAGAAAGTTGGGTTTATATTGAGTGCCACAGAGAGGTTCCAATCGCGTTTATTTCAAATTAATGAATATTTATTTGAACGAAATGCATCTTTGATTGGCGGTATCAGAATCTTGATAAAGTTGACGAGAGCTATGCGACATGAAGAACGGTATGTGACGATGTAATTTGCTTTACATTCACACTCTTTTATCTTCCAATCGCACACTATCTAGATTTATTCCTTAACTTTGTTAGATGGATTATGGAATATGAATAAAAATTGGGCCGTATATAACAAACTCCTTTCATCTAGTTGCTGACAATTGATATGTAATTGCCTACTAATACTAATAGGCAATTGTTTTGGAGCATTATATGACTCAATTTATCAATTTCCTAGTTATAGTAGTTTACATCTGCTAGACGCAAACTCCTTATTATCATAGACTTCCTAATTCCTATTTGACTCTATATGTATGGTTCGAGAAGAAATTAATAAGGAGACTCTGCTCTTCCAATCGCATCCTTTCTATATTCCTTCCCATACTTTGTTGGATGGATTATAAAATCATAATCTCTCCCTGATGATATACTGTTTGTTTTGTCGATACTATTTGCCATTAATTAAAAACCATTTCGTTAGAATCATTAAGAGATTAAGTAGATCTAATGAAAATGATACGTTTCTATTACTTTCTTGTTTCAACGATTTACTAATTATTTAATCGAAGTCATAAAGACCAGGATGGGGTGGCCTTTTGTATAGTCGCGGTCTCTTTTCGTTGTATAGAATTTGTTTGACCATGGTTTCTCAACTTGGTCAAATTAGAAGGAAGACCTAGAGGAACGCACCTTGTCAGGAGTCCATAGTATGCATGATCATTTTCAGATCCAGGCCATGGACTTGGTACATTCCCAGACGTTTTGCCGAAATCGTAGTCTGCATCATCAGTGAGTCTTTCCAGTCTCAGCAACCAAGCTACAACTCGTCAAATAGATAAGTTAAGTCATATGTAATTGCCTACTAGTACTAATGTGTAATTGTTTTGAAGCATTATATGCCTTAATCCATCAGTCTCAAGTTGACCAACTTTCTGTCGAGGCAGTTATGCTATCACTCCTTGTTCCGCCCTGGTCCCCTATCCATTCCCTACCCTCTAGTCTCGCCCTCGCCCTATCACAACTTGTGACATGTTTTTATTGCAAAAGAGACCTTCCTTTTTGGCGAATTTACCGTGGCATCATCACACCTGGTGTTTGCCTTACTCCCTTTCGAGTGGCTGATCCTGCTTTAGTCTCCG